AGAGAGAGAGAGAGAGAGGACCCGAATTTGGAAGCCTGTCTACGACTATGGCATTTTGGTGTAATGTGTTTATGTATCTCTGTCCTATCTTTGATTTCTCGAATGGATCCTCAGAACATGAGCTTAACTTTTGGTTCCATCTCTGTGACTTCGGGCAAGTGCCTTATGTTGGCATTTGTGCTGTGGTGCAAACTGGTTAAATTGCAGAGCTCGTACAAATTTGCCGGGGTCCTTGAAAAACCTATTAAAGTTAATCATGCCAGGTCTTTCAGTAAAAATGTAGGACCCTGATTTCAACCATTGACCTTTGTAGACTCGGAAGATGATTTGATGATCCACAACCCTATAAAAAATGTCATTGTTTGTCAGATGCTCATCTCCACCGTACATAATTCCTTGATAACGATGGAGATTGATAGCGGTTTATAAACAATCAAATTAGAGCCCATCTTCAAATAGTGTCGAGAAATGTAGTTTCAATACTAGAAATCCTTGACTAGCCTAAAAATATATTTTTAATTATAAAATTTAAAGCCTAAAAAATAATATAGATCAAGTAGATCTGTAAAAGCTTGAATAACTTAAAAATTGATGCTCCAAAAAATGCATTACAAAATGCATTATTTTCAAAACTTGAAATACATTTTTTTCTCAAGTCAATGAATCTTGATATCGAGATGATCAATTTGAGTATCAAAACAATCTCTTCGGGTGAAATTTTTGAGGTAAGCTCTAATTTGATTGTTTAGAGCTTGGGCACCACATGAGCTTTCCCCAAATTTAAAAGACAACAATGGTTATGACCGTGCTGTTTCTATAGAGCCGAGGCTCTAAACAATCAAATTAGAGCTCACCTTCAAATGGTGTCGAGAAATGTAGTTTCAATATTGGAAATTTTTTACTAGCCTTAAAATATATTATCATATTTAATTATAAAATTTAAATATTAAAAAATAGTGTAGATCAAGTGGATCTATGTAAACTTGAATAACTTAATAACTGACGATTGAACAATGCTTTACAAGGTGCACTATTTTTAGAATTTGAAATCCATTGTTTTCTCAAGTCCATACATCTTGATGGTGAGATGATCAATTTGAAGATATGTGGGAATCAAAACAATTTCTTTTAGTGAAATTTTTGAGGTAGGTTCAAATTTGATTGTTTAGAGCCTAGGCTCTATATAAACTTTTCCCAATGATAAACGACCTTTTGTCTAAGGAAAAAGTTTATATAAAGTTACAACCTTACTTCAAAAATCCATTAGAAAAAGTCATTTTAATGTTGAAAAATACTATGATTGATAGTTACTTTAATGTTGAAAAATGCTATGATTGATCATCTCGACAGCGAGATGTATGAATATGAAAAAGGAAATATATTGAGTCTTCTAAACAATGCATCTTGCAACACGATATCTAAACTTTCTATTTTTAATATTTTCATAAGTTTATAGATCTACTTGATATTAATTATTTTTTGAATTTAAAATTTTATAATTAAATATAAAAATAAATTTTTACGCTATCATAAGAATTTTTTATGCCAAAATTGCATGATCCGACAAAATTTGGAGGTGCCCGTTAATTGGATTGTTTAATTGCAACCTTATATAGAAACCACACCCTCATAAAATCCCTTCAAAAAATTATAATTAAGTGCAAGGCCATTCTTTGGCGCCAAGGTTTTGGGCCGTGACGCAATTGGGGATGGCCCATTTCTATGTATGAGGGAGCAAAAAGTGTTCAGAGAAAATGTATCTTCTCACTTTTTCTGTCTATGCCTAGGATTTTGTTGCAGATAAAAAGCCTCTAATTTTTTTCTCTCTAGGTCCAGGGTTTTGTTACAGAGGAAAGGTGTAATTGTGAATCTGGTTTCAAATCGAAAGGAAGCAAATGGGTGTTGTGAAACGCACGAGGCTCCAAAACATTGAAGAAAACAAGCCAAGAAAAGCAATACAAGGTTCTGTGAAGAAAGAAGAAGAAGAAGAAGAGAGGATAGATGGTGTTGTGAAGAAGGGCGAAGAAGGGATGACAGAGTACGAGCGCAGGAGGGTTGAAAACATAGAAAGAAACCAGCGGATGCTTGCCTCTCTTAACGTCCAATCCCTCCGATCCTCTGTTGCTACAAAGCATCCCAGGTCTCTCTCTCTAGAATGGTTCTCCCTAATGTTTTCTTTGAAGTTTCAGTTCTTGTGGTCCTGTTTTTTATCTCTTTCTCTCTGTCTCATTGATTTCCCTTTCACCATTTTCTATGGCACTATTTATCTAGATCTGATGGTCTCTCTTTTTTAATGGTCTTCCCTCAAGCTCCCTCTAATTTTGACAATTCTTTACTGCACTGTGAATTTTTCTCCCATGGTTTGCTCTCAACTTCCCTCTAAAATTTCACCATATCTCATGGTGCTGTTATTATCTATTTTCGGTAAAATTTTACTACTCTCTTGGTGCTGTTTTTATCCATTTTTGGGGTTTTCTCTAGTGGCTTTGCCTCTTAAGATTTCCCTCTAAAGTTTCCCTTTAAAATTTCACCATTTGTTATGTTACCGTTTATTTACTCTCTCTCTCTCTCTCTCTCTCTCTGGACCAGTCTTATGGCACTGTTTATTTATCTCAGGGCTGTTTCTGATGGTTTTTGCTTAAGTTTTCTCTGAAGTTTTACAGGTCAATTTTAACAATTTTAAGTTCCTTATTTTATGCTTCAATTCTTTTCTCATGATTTCTATGAAACTTCAGCAATTGTACTGGTCCCTATATCTTCTTCCTCCTCCTCCTCTTCCTCTCTCAATCTCTCATATTTTTTTGTTTGAGATGTTAATAGCTCTTATGCTGCTTTTCTATCCATTTTCAGGGTGGAGCCCAAGGGCTATAAGAAAATCCCAGAAAGGAAACAGGTCCCTATTGTTCTTCGAAGGTCTCTTAGAACTGGAGGGATCCCACCTGATGCATCTTCAGCCAAGGGCGGCCATGATGACATGCCTTGTATAGACCATCTCTCATCATCTTCTTCTACCTCAGTGCCCATTAAGAAAAGAATGGGTTCTTTCACCATGGGAGAGGTTTATGAGAGCAAAAAATTTGATGTTTCAGATAACCATTTCATTGACACAGTAATCGGCCTTTCTGATAAGTCCCCATTATCAAGAATTGGGGTGAAAAAAGTTGAGGCTTTTGAGGTTGGGCAATTGAGATTGAAAGCTGACAATGTTGCAAGGTTAGTACCTGGAAGAATTTTGAGTTTGGGGTTTTTCCCATGTCTTGAGAGGACAGTTGTGGTGGCTGGGGACAAGCTTGGTTATGTGGGTTTTTGGGATACTGATGACAAAGAAGGGGATGGGGTTTACACATATTGTCCTCATTCGGCCGCCGTTTCAGGTGTTGTGGTTCGGCCATTTCATCTCACAAAGGTATGCTCTCTCTCTCTCTATATCTCTCTCTCTCTTTCTCTCTCTCAATTTTTGTGTGTTTTAATTGCTAACTATTTTTCATTAATAAGAAAGTGAGCTTTACATGCATAGTTTCTTTAGAAAATTCTCGCTTATTGAATACATCGTGACAAACAATCAGAAATGTATAACTGCCAACATATCACCCATTTCATTGCCCTCTCCCCATGCATGAATTAAACATGTCCTGATTCTACTAACAATATAAAAAATTTCTCTAAGATCTTTGCATATTTTCAAGAGTATTCCATATCATTACTGGCCATTTGATTACATTCTTAGAACCCCACCTCTTACTATTGTACACCTAGCCCAATGGCTCTCAACCCTGCTAATAGAGCTTGTGCTTCTGACTCGCTTGAATCACTGACTCTTGATCTTGAAAAGCTCCCCTAACTCTTGCCTAGGTCTAGATCCCCCAATTGAGCTTTCATCAAAGTTCCATTCATGCCATATGTCTTTTGCGGTGGTTTGACTGGCATTCCTTGATTAATGGCGTGCCATACTTCGTGAGATAGCAAACTACTAACTCTGAAAATCTGATATAGATTAACCCCAAAAACATTTTCTTACCCTTGTCCAATAAAGGTGGAGAGTTTATTTTCAAAAATTATTAAATGCTGGACACAATAGGAAGATAGTGGTAGAAGGAACCGTTGGCATAAATGAGGGCGGAGGTCATAAATACACTCATAGGATTAGGATATTAGAGGTGAAAAAAGCTTTGAAGAGGATGAAGATATGAATGGCTTTAGAACCAGATGTTATCCGGATAGAGGTTTGGAATTGCATGGGAGAGATTGGCATTGATTGGCTGACCAAGCTGTTCAACAAGGTGTTGAGAATAAAGAAAATGGCAGATGAATGGAGGAAAGGTGTTGTGGTACCTATTCACAAGAATAAGGAGATGTATATATAATTGTGCAAACTATCGAGGGATCAAACTTATGAGCAGCACTATGAAGCTGTGGAAGAGAGTGATTGAGCAACGACAAGGCATGAAACGAGTGTATCAGAAAACCAATTCGATTTTATGCTAGGGAGGTCAATAACTGAGGCTATTTTCCTACTTAGGCAACTGATTAAGAAGTTTAGGGCGAAGGGAAAAGACCTTCACATGGTCTTTATTGATCTAGAGAAAGCTTAGGATAGAGTACCTAGCTTATGATAGAGTACCTGTTGGAAAGGAAAGGAGTCTCCAAAACTACATCGACTTGGTGAGAGATATGAGGGAGCGCTATCTAGTGTGCAAACAACTAGTAGAGACAAGCATTCCTCAATTTGAGTAACACCTTTCCAAACATCGAAAACTGTGCCTTTGGTCCTCGTACTGCGAACCTCCCTTCCAAATTCCCCAAGCCTATACTTATAGTCAGTTACGTTCTTCCACAATTGTTGACCTAGCTGTCTAAACCTCTCCACTATGTTTCTATCAAAGCTTGACTGGTTTCTCTTGACTTTGTTATACCCAGACCCTTTTTTTCATTTTTATAGACCTAAATCCAAATAACCAGGTAATACTTCCCTTTTTCACCCTCCACTAAAGTTCTTTATGTGATTGACTACAGGTAGCAGCATGGGAAACAAAAATATTAGCAAATTTCGATAAGGTTGATGTAATCAATGTTACTCTCCCACCAAGTGATAAAAATCACTCTTTCAATGAATCTAATTTCCTATAAACTCTCTCAATGACCTTGTTGCATACAAATTTTGGAGGCTTGCCTGAATGCATCCGCTATTGGCTTGGAAGTTTATGAACCTCACTTCCAACAATGTTAGCCAGGTTCCCATGTTTCTCATTCATCATCAATACACCCAATAATTTGGTTTCCTGGACGGTGACTCTTAGACCAAAGACCACTTCAAAGAGCCATAGAAAATAACCATATATTAGTCACCTACTCCAGGATAGGATCACAAACAATTAAATTGTCATTTGCACTTACTGCGAATATTTAAAACCCAGATAGCAGGCCATCATTATACTCTTCTTCAAGCATCCATTCAAAGGCATTTGCAACAAGGATGAAGAGGAGTGGGGATAATGGATCCCCTTGCCACCAGCCTCTTGAGGTTGAGAAGTAACTATAAGGGATACAACTAATTAATACCGAGAACATTGTCGAAGACGAACAGCATGTATCCATTTCCTTCACCTTTGAAACAAACCCCAAAAGATCTATTACTTATTTACTAAATCCCAAGTATGCATTATTAATAGGCTTTCTCTAGATCTATTTTACAATTGATTCTTGGTGATTTTTCCTTTCCTTAGAATGTATACATTCATTAGCAATAATTGCTCCATCAAGAATCTGTCTCTCCTTGACAAAAGTTAACTGTTGTTGTGATATAACCTGATTCAATATTTCACTCAGTTTTGCTGCATGGACCTTGGGGCAATAATCTTGTAGACATCCCCCCACCTCGCCCCCTCCTGGCAAAAGCCATGAATGAGGAGTTTCATCCCTTTGTGCCAGAGGAATGGATGAAACATGCATATGATGTCACCCTTGGGAAGGTCCAATAATTCTTGAGAGAAGCCCTTAAGATATCCATCATATCAGTCTTATCTCTACCGAACCCAAACACGGCCTCTTCTATCTCCTTGGTTTGGAAAGGTGTTTCCATCCATTCAGCAATATTCAAATTTCTTTTTTTTTTGGTGCAAACATAGGCAATTGTGGACTTGCTTTATAAGAGAGACTTCGATGGAAATATTGTTTTGTGGTCTAAATTTGAGCTGACCCATTCATAAAGAGGTAAGTGGAGGATTGAACTATGTCGGTGTATCTTGGGTTTGCTATATTTCATTATTAGAAAGGGAGAATTGCCAACCTTCAAGTCATTTAATGAAATTTGATATAATTCTTAATCTAGAATGTTGGGCATTGCACATGAAACAATTCATTCTTGTGGGTGTTATGCCTTCCTTGTGTCTTGTTTTGAATACCCGTAGGTATTAGTGGTGAATATAGATTCACACAATTAGAATGTGAGTTACTATGTTCAAGTACTGTAACTAGTCTATGTATAGCGTAGTTGTGCAACATTACATGGTAAGTATGCAAAGTTATGTGAAGATTGTATTTGATGTTTAAACAAGCGGATTTGGCTGCCTCGACGCTAGGAGTCCTGGCCGCCTAGGCGGGCATCTATTGCCTCAAAGGCAACTTGATAACACACGCGCACACACATATAGGAATACACTTAAAAACACTCATGAGTGAAGTTCCACAGTATGTCACTTATGGCTCATTACTATCCAAATTCCATCAAACAGTCACGATTGTCTGATAGTGTTTGAATTTTAATAATTGTTTGAGTATGCTTTTGACATAGCCTAAACTTCTGCTGCAATACACCTTTGAGAAACACAATTCTTCCTTTCTAGTCAAGCATGACAAGTGCTAAGTTCGACTAAGTGTTGGACCCGCATAAAGAAAGAGTTCAATTCTTTGGCAAACAGAAAAGCCAAGGGATGAAATCTAAAAAAGATCCGATAGTCTTTATCATTGACCTTTCGATTCACCTTTCAAAAATTCTTTGCTGAATCTAAAATTTTTTTATGCCACTCTCTAGTGCATTCTCACACATTCCAAAATATTCATGCGCTCTGGTGCATAAGATTCACTACATCAACTCATCTTTTTTTCAAAGTTCATTATTGACATAAATACCCTTGTCCTTTTCTCAAGATCACGAGGAAAAGAGCAATGTAAAACACATTATGGAAGAAACAATCTCACACTTATTGGAGGGCCAAAATAGAAATATAAGCCCTTTCCTCCAAGTCACTCCTAACGAAAGAACCACTCATGTTGCACTAAGATAAGGCATGCTGTTGCACACGTTCAAGACTGAATGAACACTCTAGAACCCACTTGAGGATGTGATGATCGTGCAGGGTTGCTTGTTGCATACCCACGTAGACCACTACTATCACTCCACCATAACTATCAGACATAACTATGAACTACCTGGTCAACACCTATAAATAGATCAACACCCAAGGAGAGCAAAAATAGTTGATGGTAGTAAAGAAGACCCTTTGTATGTAAACGATGTATCTTGTTCTCTCAGTGAAACCATCTGTAATCAATTAAACATAGGTTTTTCACTCCTCCATTGTATGAGACAGCCATCATCATCATCAAAGCCTTTTCTCAACTAACTGGGGCCGGCTACACGAATCTAGGTCCGTCATTCTGCTCTATTAAGGGCCACAGATACCTGGGAACTTACTGACTAAAAAATAAATAAAGCATGTTTCAATTGGCTGATATATTCACCAAGGCACTTAGTTGTAACCAGACTCAACAGATTTTGTTTCGAGCTTGGCATGGGTGACTTCTATGCTCCAACTTTAGGGGAACTGTTAAAGAATAACTTGGTTTGTGTATTGGGGCATTTTTGTTATTTTTCTATACTTTAGGATACTTTCATTGAGGTTATTTTTGTCCTTTGTAAACCCTAAACAAATATTTTAAATAAAGATATTATTTATTGGGGTATAGGGTTACTGAATCTCATGTCACTCTCGCTTTTCTTTTCCTCTTCTTTCCCCTTTCTCTCTCCAGTTTTGACACTTTTTATCGTTCATGGTATTGTTCAGGCACTGTTTATGGCACTGTTCACAGATTCCAAGTTGAAAGATCTGACCTAGATTTATGTCAACCAACAAGTACTAGTTGAGTATATGAGGGAAGAGAAAGAAGATTTGGGGGCATGATCCCCCTATGGAATCAATCACATATATTTATATCATTGATATGATACAAGTAATGCCCATGCCCTTGTGTAAATAACTTACTCACACATAATCATGTTGAATAAGATATTCCATTCGTCCCTGACTTTCCACCTCACTTTCAACATCTATATAATATTCCTAGATTTTGTTTAGCACTTCCCCTTCATCTTGATGCCCATTAATGAAATCGCTGTACTTTTGGGATTTAATAGTTTCCTCTACTTTACAGCATAAAAAAAAAGTTTCCTCTACTTTCTTGGCAATCATTTTAATGTTTACAACAGGATGATTTTGTTTATATTAAAATTGTTTGTTTTCACAGTATACATGATTGTGACTATAATTATGCTTTGTTAGACTCAGTTTTGTAGCGTTTCTTGAAATACTTATCCTTATTGTGAGATACATTTGCTAAATTATATTAGTTTGTTGATTTCACTCATTGCCTATGTTTCCATGCTATATTTTGGGAGATGTTAGCATGGGAATTTCAGTGTGTAGAGTCCCTCTCTTGATATGGCACAATAATTTTTTAATAACTTTGCAGATCTTCACCAGCAGCTATGATGGGTCTATCAGGCTGATGAATGTCGAAGACGGAAATTTTGATATGATTTACCATTGTGATGATGAGGTTTTTGCTCTTTCAACTCAGACTTGTGACATGAATTCCTTATATTTTGCTGAGGGTCAAGGGGAATTGAAGGTTTGGGACGAGAGAACAAAAGGCATCTCAAACTCATATTCCTTGCATTCTCGAAGGATTAACACTATAGATTTTAATCCAGAAAACGACAACATAGTGTGCACGAGCTCCAATGATGGGGAAGCTTGCATTTGGGATCTTAGATGTATCAGAGATGATCCATTACAAAAAGTAAAGCATCAAAAGGCTATTCTTTCTGCATTCTTTTCCCCTACTGGACAATATCTTGCTACAACAAGGTTAACATATTCTTTTTTTGAACGTAAACATTTTAATGACCATGTGGCATAGTTTATAATCTCATTTTAATTATTTTTTGTATTGTAAATTGCTGATTGGAGATCTTTTCTTAATTATGGTTGTTTTTATGTTCTTTCTGCCATTCATCTATCATTGTAAAAAAGTGCATGTTTTTGTCCCTGACAAGTTTTCATTCTAATATTGATGCTGAAAGAGTTGTGGTTCAAGAGGTACTATGTATAACAAGATCTTCAAAGTGTCCTTGTGCAATTAGCACTAGGACAGATGAACTCTAGAAAAGCCCATTCCCGTAAACACAATAGCACTAGTACATATGAACTCTGGAGAAGCCCATTCCCCGTGCACTTACAAACACAAAAGTAAAGGAGATTAGTAGCCAACCTTTTTTCTTTCTCCTCTTTGGTTGCATCGAGGCCTATACTGAACATTCTCTTTGTCATTAAAAACATACTTGAAAACATGTTGCCAAGGTATAAATAATATGCGTTAAATAAAAAAAAAGTAGATTTTACTCAGAAATTGTTTAATCTCTATCACCTTTAATAAATTCTGATGTCTGATCCATTGTTCTTGGAAGCAGGAGCAGGAGTGGTATTGAGAGTGGGAGATCATTGCTTGCGGGAAGCTCCCCAATTAGGGACTGCCCATGCTATGTAAAATATTTAAAAATGTGATAAAATCATAAAATTTAAAAAATGGTTGAAGGAAGTTGATGCAAGGTTTATCTTCTAATTTTTTCTGCAGTGAAAATGGCCCCCTTCCTTAAACCAAAATTTACCTCGTTATGTAGGTCCCACTTTTTGTTTTTTTTTGAGAAACTTAACTTTTGTATTAAAAAAATATTTCCGTGAAGAAATGGTTACTGATGGGCATCCCACATATTGGGTGCTCAGATTACATACAAAAAGTATAGAAAGAGCAAGAATGCTCGCGGGGGAGAGGGAGAAATTACTAAGTAGATGACAGAAAAAGCAAGATTGCTCACAGGGGAGAAGGAGAAATTACTAAGTAGGAGGCACTACTGAGGACTCTGTTACAGCGGGAGCAAAAGGGTGGGCTGTTTTAGCCTGACATCATTACAGTTTTACATTCCAAAGAAAGAAATAGAGTGATAGGGGTACAAGTAGAGGGAGAGAGTAGGTGTTCCTTGGGAAAAATTGATAGCTCTCATTCTGAGGGACTGGTAGTTCGAGGAGAGTATTGCTGGTCTGGGTCTTGAGGGGCAGCAGACCTATGACGCAGGACTATCTCGCTCACCGGGTCTTGAGGGGCAGCAAGCCTGTGAAGCAGGCAGTCCTTCGGGTCATGCTTCCTTAAGAGATCTACCAGGAGCAGAAAAGAGGGTGTTGAGAGAGGTTATCGATTCCTTTGTTCTTTCTGAAGAGGGGAAGAGGTGAAATAGGTAGCTTAAGAGAGTAGCTTAGGAGATCAATAAGGTGTTTATTAGCAATGTAGAAATCAGACACTAGTGAGGACAACGAGGGAAAAGAAGAGAGGAAGGGGGAGAGAGATAGAAGAGAGACAGGGGGAGGGGGAGATAGTAGAATAATTGGAAAGGGCGAGAGGGATATAGAGAAAAGGAGACAAGATAAAGATAAAATATGTAGTATAGAATAAACCAGAGAGGGTGGGTGACACGAGAGAGAGAGAGAGAGAGAGAGAGAGAGAGAGAGAGAATGTAATAGATAAGAAACCAAAGTTTTTTTTTCCTTTTGTCTTTTTTGTTTTTTTGTTTTTGGAGGGGGAGGGGGTTGTAGAAATTGGCTTCAGTGCCCTCAGGAGGAAAGGAGATATAGAGAGATAATAGGATTTAGTAGGGCTAGCAATGGAACTGAACCCGACCCGGTACCTGCCTGGAATACCCGACACGGGTCCAGGTATGGGTCCAAACCTTGGACCCGTGGGTAGGGTCCGGGTCCTTCTTAATGGACTCGAAGATTCTTGGGTATGGGTCCGGGTAATAGTGGACCCACCCCATACCCGACCCGAGACCCGAAGTTTCCCACCCCTTTTGAAACCTACCCTTCATTTTATAGGAGACCCCTCATATTACCTCTCTAAATCTTTCGATGTGGGACTAAAAAATTTTCCCAACCTACAAAGCAACAACAATTCTATATCTCTCTCTGTGTCTAGCCGCATTTCTCTCACTAAAATCCTTTGTCTCTGTCGAACACGGGCAACGACTTCTCGCTCTCTCTAAACTAAACTTTCTCTAACACGGACAGTGCTTCTCTCTCTCTCTAAATTAAACTTTTTCTCTCTAATGTGGGCAACGATTTCTCGCTCTCTCTCTCTCTAAACTAAACTCTCTTTGTCAAAGTCCTCTCTATCTGTCGGTGTCTCCAAATTCTCATCTCTTCTTTCTCTCTCTCTAAAATCTTAATTTTTTGTGTTCTCTCTTAGTCTCTAGTGCCATTTCTTGCTTTCGTGCCCTCTTCATCTCTCTCCTTCTAAGTCCATTCACCTCTTTGCCTCTCTCTCTAAGGCCATTCATCTCTCTACCTCTCTCTATATGTCCATTCATCTCTTTGCCTCTCTCTCTCTAGTCCATGCATCTCTCTGCTTTCTCTCTAAGTTCATTCATCTCAGAATTAAGTATGAAGTGATAAGAAGAGAGAGGTTGTTGTTTATAGATAGGAAGATTAGTTCGACATGGATGGGAATAGAAAGAAATTAGTGGGTCGAGATCTATAAAAGCAGAGGCATGTCAATTGTTGGTTGAAAACTATTTCCAAACCCCCTCATGGGCTAGTGTCGGGTATGGGTATGGGTCTCGGGTCCAAAATTGCTTGTCGGGTACGAGTACGGGTACGTTCAATTTGGACCCAGTCGGGTTCGGCTACATATAGTCTATTTCTGGTCCTCTGGGTCTAGGTCCAGCTGGACCTGACCCGTTCCCACCCCTAGGATTTAGAGAGGAGAGAGTGATGGTTAGAGAGACAAGAGAATAGAGAGAGAGATTAGAGGTTGGTCATTGCACCTTGGCCCTGATTTGCATCTTCCTTTGATAGCTGGTCAGTTGTTGAGTTGGTCTCGCGGAAGATGAGTTTGAATATAACCCGTGGCATTGTGCTGCACAAAAAGTTGATGTGTTAAAAGATGGAGTATAGCCTCCAGGGAGGTTCCTCTTGGTGTGTGGCCCAAAGGACTGTATTTCTGGAGTCTGACTAAACTGTGATCCCTTCAGCAGGAGTCCCCAATGAAGCCACATGTTTGAGGCCCTCAAGAAGGGCCAGAGCCTCCACAAAAGTGGAGTCCTTGATTCCAATATATTTAGAAAATGTCCATAAGGTTGCATATGGGTCAGCGAGCTGCCCTCCTATTTCAGAGGGACCTGGGTTACCAATAGAGGATTTGTCAATGTTAAGTTTCAATAAGCCTGGTGGTGGGGGAGCCCAAATTGTCTTGGGTTTGTTGTGGGGGGATAGGTTAAGAAGGCACTCCTAGTTTGTCAAAAAGTGGGAAATGGGGATGGCAGCAAAGGTTGGTATTATTTGGCCCATGAGGGAAATAAGGATAAATATGGTTTTAAAGACCGCTTGTTGGCTTCTGGGTTTCCTCTAAAGTTCTTGCATTTTGCTCAAGCCACGGACTCCATAACAAAGCTGCAATAGATATATGCCACAACTTTAAGAGAATGAGGGGGAGTAACTTACTGGAGGCAAAAAAGTTTGAGAATGGATGACCATAAACCTAGGGAAGCCTCAATGGATGAAAAGATGAGGAATATTCTCCTCTTCTTGAAGAGAAACCCCTCTACGTTGAAGTTAATCCAAGGAAAGAGTTTTGCCTTGCATGAGTATCCAAACCAGTGTTTTAAAATGTGGCCGCATCGCTGCATATGCGGTCGCATCAGGTGGTATGCGGTGGGCACCGCATGGAAAAGACCGCATATGCAGTTTGGAGATATGCGGGCGCATATGCGTCGCATCAGAGCCGCATAGCGCATCTGGCTGCATATTGTTCCGCGATGTTATTTTCGATTGTGCCCCTCGGGGATGGGCAAAATGGTCTTTTTGACCATCAAAACTTGGGGGAAATAGTTTGGGGGGGGGGGTATTAACCCCGTAAACGAGCATTTACAGCCACTTTCATGGCTTTTTTGGGATCAAATCGAGGAAAAAAAAAGGCGGAAATTGTTTTTCATTGAGATTTTGGATTTGGGGATTGTTTTATACTTGGATCTTGATTTGAACCTTTTGGTTGTTGATTTGGGGAAGTTTAGGTGAATTTGTGACAAGAAATCAGGGGTTTCAAAGGCTGTGAAGAAATCGAGCACTGCTTCAAGAACCGGTAACTTTTTATTCTTTGTACAGTAATACTTATTTTTGAGGCAATGTCTTCTTCCCAATCTTCTAGTAATAAGGATCTGGCTTGGAAATATGCCAAACTAAAAAATCAGAAAGATAGAAATCATGTGATTTGCATGCTTTGTGGAAATACTTATATTGGTGGTATTTTTCAAAAAAAAAAACATTTAGCCGGAATTTCTGGGAATGTAAACGCATGCCTACAAGCTACCGATGAAATAAAAAAAGAGATTAGAGAATACATGGATAGATTGAAAACAGATAAAGAGAAGAAAAAAAATAAAAAGGAAAGAATTACTTGATGATATGCAATTATTTGATGATGATGTTCATGATTATGTGATGATGATGATATATCTGAAGGTGCAATGAGGCAAAGCGGTACTCGAACTCCAATCTCAAGAGAGAGGGTTATAAATATGGGTGCAGTTGGCAAACAGATGCATCCGTAGCAGCAGAGGTAAGGTGCACCTTCAAATTTCATCATGGTATATAATTTTAATGTAAAATGTTCTTAGGATTATCTCAAAATCTATTTTTATATCTAATTATAAATATTAAATTTAAAAAATGGTTAAAATCTGGTAGATCTATAAACATATGAAAATCTTGAAAAGGGACGGTCTAGATAATATGCTGTAAATCTATAAACATAGGAAAATCTTGAAAATGGACAGTGTAGATAATATGTTGTAAAATGCACTATTTCTGAGACTTAAAATCTTTTTATTTTTCATGGTCATAAATCTCAATGTCGAGATGATCAATCAAAGGGTTTTTCAA